TGCAAAATTCACAACCTACCGGCCAATAACTGTAAATCATGATAATTGCGACAACCTGTAATTGGCCTTCCATTATTTATCAACTAGACTAAATATTTTAAGGTTATGGGATCATAAATAAAATAATAAACCATTTTAAGCGAATTGGGTTTAAGCAGAACTAGTGCCAAAATACCGATTTAACGTGTAACATTTTCATGACATTCTTACCGTGTTTGGGAAACAAGTCCTAAAATTCAACACTTCACGAACACTGACACATTCATTTGGCGCCTAAATTAACAGAATACCAACTGCAAGGTTGAAAATTTTACTAGACACCAAGAAGATTACTATGTTTAGATCACCAAAAGAAAAACAATGTAACAGAGCTGCAGTTCTTAATATTTAATTTAAAAGTCTAGCGTGCCAATAACTGTAAAGGGGCCAACAACTGTGCCGCTTACCCTATGTTGGCTGAAATAAATGCCCCGCAGATTCGTCATAGAAATCTGTTTCAGATTTTCCTACAGCGGTGGCAGTATGTTTTTGAGTTACAAATTAAAAATTAAAAGTATTTCCAAATTGTGTCTTCTATCTAACTTATAAATAATAATAATTCTAAAAATGTAAACTTATAAATGAACTTATACAGGTTGATTTCAAACTAAAATTTCGTATTCTAAAACGAGAGAGAAAGAAATAAATGAAATTCTTGCAAAACGCATTCAATAACATAACCAAGATATCGGAAATACTGAAATTTTCCACAAATTCAACAAACATTTGAGTTGTTTCGTTTTAAACTATCTATAATATCTCTCACTGTCACACAGGATACTTTATTAAATCTAAACATTTTGCTGTTTGGCATGGAAATATTTTGTTGTAAAAAACTTAACAGGATTTTTAATATTACAATTTGGTTTAGTCGGTTTAACGTGAGCTGTCACTTTTGTGAAATATTGATCGAAATCGGCATAACACTGGATTGTTTAAATGAAAAGTGCGAATTTAGAATTAATATCCAAGTTATTGTTCTTTGTAAAACTCCAATCAACGTTTGCTAATCTATACTTATATAATAAAGCTGAAGCTGTTGTTTATTTGAACACGCTAATCTCAGAAACTACTGGTTCAAATTCAAAAAATCTTTTTGTGTTGGATAGTCCATGTATCATATCTACATATAGGCTATATAAAATTACGCTACGATCATTAGGAGCGAAGTAGCAATGAAAAATTCGGAAAAACGGGAAAATTATTCCTCCTTTGACATCTTCCGTTGCTTACGCTGCTTAAACGGTTAAAGTTACGTAAAAATCATGTATAACGAAATTGTTCCCCTCTAAAAGTTCTAAAGAAAAGTCCGCGACAGCATATGTCTATCTTTTAAGGTCGAGTCAGTATAACCTTTTTTATGGTAATGAAATTTGTTCTAAAATAATAATGCATTATGTATAAAATTCTCGCGTCACAATGTTTGTAACCGAACTTCTCCGAAATGGGTAGACCGATTTGTATGAAATTTTTTATGTCTATTCGGTAGGTCTGACAATAGGTTGTAAACTATTTTTTAAACCCCTAAGTGATAAGGGTGGCCCACCCTAAAAAATTTTTGTCTATTTTTTTGACAAATTTTTTTATTTTTATTTTTTTAAGATTTGACATCAAAAAATACACACAACCCTAAATTTTCACCTTTCTACCACCAACCCCCATTTATTAATCATCTATAAAATAAAAATCAATTGCTGTTCCTATTAGTCACGCTAAGACTCAAAAACGGCTTGACCGATTTGAAACATTTTTTATATTACGGGGATGCTTTATAAATAAAAAAACTAAGGATAACTTAAAAGAACAGTAAAAAATTAAAAAATTCTAAACATTTTGTATGGGAATCGCCACTTCGAATTACTGTCAATAGTTGGCGTCTCTGACGGACCTGTCGTCTAACTGACGTGTCATACAAAACTAATTCTTCCGTGTGATTGTGAAAAGTACATATATTGCATTTGAAATCGTTCTTTGTTTTTTCGTAAAAAAAAACGTCGTTTATTTTAAGAAAAGTCTTGGTTAAATTTAATTACATATTGCGAAAGTTTCTTATTCATTTTGATCTGGCAATCTATTTACCTATATTCACTTTGTTGGTTTTGACAAAACCTCAAACTTTACCGTTATTCGAGGATTTAATTTGAAGTTTTCAATATTTTAAAATTCTCAAGACAAAATTTACAGATTTGATTGACTGTGAAAATAATTCTGTGTCGTTTTATGAAGTTCATTAAAATGCCGAGAAGACGAGAACCTCACATAGGTCCACGAATCAAATGTGCGACGAACTACCTCAGGTGCAAACCGCATTGATTTATTTCATGGGTAATTCGGATATGGAAGTTGATCAGCGTTATGCTCATAATCAACATAATCAAACATTGAAGCGAGACATTGGGTGGTATGAATAAAACTGAGTAGATACTCATATTCGAAGTACGAAGTACCTACTTCATTATTTATTACTCTTATATACCTGAGCATCTACTCTATGTACTGAGTACCTACTGGGAAACATTGTATCTCCCCGGACACAAACTGAACATCTACGCGTTTTGCGAGCATTTAATCTAGATGTAAGCATCGGCGTGGCAAATAACTGAGCTGTCTGTAAAGTAGCTTAGAAAACCAGTAGGATCGTTGTAAGAGTGAATTTTAACTAAACATGGTGACTTTCATGAATGTGAAACGTCGTCAAAAGGTGCATTCAGTTTGAAAAACACATTAGGAGCAGGAATATCGAAAACTTTTCATGTAATTAACTTTTATTTATTCATAAATTGTGCAGTGCATTTTTTCTAACACTGGCCATAGAGATTCCCATCTCAAGGTGTCTACCCCATACTAACTTATATTTTGGTGACTCGATTTTTGCCTTGATGGTTGAACACTGTCACTGTTGTCCTTTTTTGTTGTATCGAGATGCTACTTGAGCATCAACTGTTACTTACTGAAGTATTAGTATCATCTAGAAAAACTAGAAATATTTTGATTTGATATTCGAGTAGATACTTCGTATTTCGAGTATGAACATCTACTGAGTTTTATTTATATCAACCATTGTCAAAAAATTGATCGAACGTTGTTTTGACAGAACTTCCTTTGCACCAAAAGTATAATGAAACATATTCAGCATTTTCGAGTTGAGTATTTTCTTCACACAATTTTGTGATGACCTAATCAACATTTACTATCAACACGTAGATATACCACCTTGGATTGGTGCAGTGTAATACTAAAAATAACTGTATTGTATTCCCAAAATTATCTGCGAAAATCGAGTGAGCCATTCCATCAATTTTTTGGGGGGAATAAATAATTATTCTGAACTATTTACCATGCTTACAATAACTTTAAAACGTCTGCAAGATCTCAAAGTATTCATTTTTGCAACTCTTGAGTTATTCACTAAAATAAATTGACTGATCCATATATTTTTTTGAGTCACTGTAAAAGCAAATCTAAAAAATATGAATGCAGTGATAAATTACGAAAATATACTGATGATATTTTCCACATTTTAGATAGGATTTATTCGGCAAAATCTTGAGATGACGTCTTTAAGTTTTTGGGCTTGATAAACAGATATATTTTGATTGAAAACCCACAATGTCAAACAGTAACTTCAAAACGTCTGCAATATTTCAAAATTCAGTTTTGCAATTCTTGATTCAATCAATAAAATAAATTGACTCAGTGATTAATTTTTTTGAGACACCCCCTATAAGCAAAACTAAAAAATATGAATGGAATGATAAATCACAAGTATAGTCTCATCCTATTTTGGACATTTTAGATAGGATTCATTTGGCAAAGTTTTGGGCTGACGTCATCAATTTTTTGGAGGGGATAAGTAAATATATTTTGAATACAAATTTATTATGCTTATCATATGTTTAAAACATCTGCAAGATTTCAAAGCATTCGATTTTGCAGATTCAAAATTAAATTGTAGGTGAAACGGAGTTCACGGGGTCAGCTAGTAAATTATAAAATTGAAATTTGGTTAACATGGACATAGAATATCTAATCGTTCTCAACATAAATAAGTTGTTATTTACCTGTGAGATTTGTTTTAATTCTAATTTTATAACAGTCTGATGATTAGATAAGTGCGCACGTAATGGTTTCACATCATAAAAATTCTGACTAATATTGCAAAATATGTTGTCTAAACATGAGTAATTTTTAGTAGCAAAATGGACTATATAATTTAGACCGTAGCTACTCATGTGATCGCATAACAGTGTTTTTGAGCGTTCTCTCTAACAAATTGATATTATAGTCACGTGCAATGATAGTGTTTTTTTCACGTGCGTTAATAATATTAAATATCTCAGATAATATATCCAAAAATGTAGCCAAATTACCACAAGGCGGTCTATAGATATTTATGAAGATAATATCTACCTTATAAACACTTACGGCCGATATTTCACACTGATTTTCGACTGAGAGTTGAACTAGTTGTTATTTGAGCAGTGTATATCACTTCTGGATAATATAATTGAACCACCATGCTTCGTTATGTTATGATTATTATTATTATTAATGATATTATTATTAAGAATCAAACCCTATACTAAATGTTATGAAGCTTGGCACTGCCTGGAACGCCAACCCTAATTAAGTATATTTAAAACTGTTGACTTTAATTTACTTAAGCTGCAGTTAAATAGGTCGACTTCACATTCTCGTTATATTTGGCTTAAATAATAATTTATTATATATATGGGTGCCTTCCTGCCAATATTTGTCCTTGGAGTATTGCAGTATAATGTGACGGCATACCTATTATTAATTCTGGGAACATAAAATTTAAGACTACTTACCAACTCCTTGAAATCAAGCATATTGTTAACAAACTTATAAAGAAATATAATGACGTTCACAGTACGCCTATTAAGAAGTGAACAAACTTTAATTTTTTCTAGCAGTAATTTCTGGGGATAGTTCCTCACCACTCAACATTTTTCTTCTTTGTAGTATAAATACTTCAAAAATTGTCGTTGTATGTTCTCCAATGATAGAATTTGAATGTTGTAATACGGAAACCACGCCAGGGTGCAAGATTCCAATTTTGATCGAACCCAAGCAAAAAATATTACTTTCAATGTTGCCGGATTAGTAAAATCCTTACAATTGCGTACAATAAATCTCAACATTTTTTTGAACTTGATAGCTCCAGTTCATTAATTAGCTTTTTAATCTGTCTCCTGTGAATCCGTAAATTCTGCGATGATCTTGTTTTTGATCGTTTCGTACTTGTGTTCCGCAGGAGGATTGACCAGGATGTCCGAAACGGTCTGTAGTATGATGCCGTCCAAGGCGCTAACAACCATGTAGTACTTTCACTACTAGTCAGAACCTAGTAGGCTAATTACGTGAAACCAAACGTCAGTATTGACATTTTGCCAACTTCAATGTCATGGCTCAAAATTTTCGCGATGTTTCTTGACTTTCGGCAGTTAACCAAAATTTTGTGTAACGCTGTACAGGTTCACATTTATTCTTCGCCAAATTTTTTAATGGAATCCTTCATAAACGTGTTAATGCTCGTTTTTCACTGCTTGTTAATAATTGAAGTCAACTCTTTAATAAGAAAAATGAGCGTTCGTCCAATTAAAATAGCAATAGATCAGTCTTCAGTAGGTATGTGTTGGATCTCAATATGTTTTAGTTTTCAGCCCACTAATTTTGTACTTCACAGATGTTAAGCGTAGGGAGTCGGAATTTCAAGGTGTAGTGCGGAAACATCCTGAGCTAGGAGTGGACGTTGTTTTTACAGAAAGCAGTTTACTGAGAGATGATTGGGATACGACTGCTAAAATCAACAAAATATTGTCAACAAGTTTAAGTGAATATATCAGAAAAGATTTACAGAAACTTCAGCCGAAGTTACTTACTGATTCGAACCACAGCCAGCAAACGCAAGAGAACAATTTTACGTCAAGTGTAGAAAAATTGTATGAGTTTTCGATTAACGAGCCTCATTTCAAAAATAAAAGTGTTCTGGAGGATTCACCGAAGGTTGAAGCAAAGAAAATTATGTTCTTACATTAAACTAAAATGAAGGAAAGAAAAAGCAATGTTCATTTAAAATGCAGTACGTATCTAAAGAGATTTGTAAATGAATTTTATAAATAAAATTGTTTTGTGGTGTTGCGTATATTTTAGTAGAACATACGCCAGTGTGATATATTCGAATGATTTGGTTAAAGTGATTGAAATTGAATCTCCTATCCTGATGACATGAAACGAACGATCGGACAAAGTGACGTTATCGCCCTCAATACACTTAATTGAAGACGAAAATAAGGAGGCCTGGTTGTGTATAAATTTTAACCACAGTTCTGATGATGGAGTCTCAAAAAAGGTTTTTAAAACTTGAGGACATTTCTCCAATGATAAAAAAAAAAGATTTTAAAGGTTCAAATAGCTTTAAAACTCTTTCTATCGCTGGCAAAAGAGCTAACCATCTTGTTTTACTATAACCCAACAGTTTTTGATATTCAGTTTCTGCTTCTTCACAAAACTCTTTTAATGACTCAACCCTCAAAGTAAATATACTAAAATGCTTATACAAATTCACTATAATATTTTCAATATTTGCAGGCAATAGGTCACAGGCTGTTTGAATTGCATTATGAATAATGTGAGCTGCGCATCCAACTCCAATTATTTTCCGTTTGATTTTTTTTTTCTAGTTTCGCAAAAATGTTATTAGTGCCTTTCCTTTTTAAACCACCAAAATTAGTGTTTGCATTATCGGCACAAAATCCTACAAGTTTACTTGCTAAATTATCCTTCTCAAGAGTTTCTAATAGCGATGTAAAAATTAGCTCTGAGGTCTCTCCTGGCAAAGACACGAAGTCTAATCACTTAGTTTGCATACCATCATTTATATCAAAAAATCTTACTAAAGTAGGAAAACATTTTATGGCTTGATGGTTAGATGCATCTGAGTAAACTGAAATAGAGTGTACCTGTGACAATTTATTGTTTAACTCATTTCTACACAATGGAGCCAAAACTTTTTTTATTATTGCTTCACACTTTGTTCTTTTACATGTAAACTTTTTTTCATATATTTTTCGTACAAGTTTTGTCGTACAATTCATGGATCGAAAGCTTTGATTGTGTTTCACTGTGTGAAATGATACTTTTTTTTCAAATCTTCCGTGAATTTACATTTTCGTTTTGGAGCGAGTTTTGGAGGCATATCGATGGTTATTAAAGCCAATCTAAGTACAAGTATATGTATATTGTGACGGTTTTTGAAAATCAAAGAACTTTTACTCACCTCTGAAGAACCAAAAAATATGAATTGGAAAAGCAAGACACGATTAATTATAATTCAAAAAATGCTCGGTTTCGCAGTTCTAATAGTGACACAACCACACAAGAGAACGAAGATGCAAGAAAAGTATAGAGAGTAAATGCGCATCTGTTGAAGACTATGTGTAGGGATATATGGTCGAAACGGCTTGATTGTTTTTCGCGGAATTCTTGGCGGGCGATAAACAGTAGCAAGAATTGCCGGAAATTTATAATCTGAACCTAAAAACTTAACGAGACAGCTTCATTGCTTTTTGAGGAATTCTGGAAAAGCAGCAAAAAATACCGGAAATTTAAATTTAGAAATAGAAATATAAAAAAAAAATTCAAAAATCCATTTTTCTTTAAATGCGGGACATTTTCCGGGACGCTAATAATCCGGGATTGCATGTCTAAAAACGGGACAGTCCCGCGCAATCCGGGACGAATGGTCACTTTACCATAGAGAATAATGTAAAAAGTAACAAGATAGCGTATCTACCAAATATTCTTGTTTATCCTGTAGGCACCCAGTTAAACACCGGGGATAAAATCGAGAAAATATTTCATTTTGATTTATAGTTTACTTGTGTTAACAAACAGGTATAAATATAAGCAAAAATGTTCGGTACGTTAGTGTTAGAACTAAAATATTGTAATTACTGCAATAACAGAATAAGTTATATTTGGATATTAATTAACAGTAATGCGCATGAGTGGACTAGATTATGTTGTGGCGATTTTGTGTTCCATGAAGCACCGCAATTGCGCTGTCACTAGTCACTATTTTTAACGTATTGTTGGTCAGTGGCGTCTGCATTTTCATTTTGAACTTGAATATGTGATTCTTGTTCGTAATGTACTGATTATGTGTGTGTATTTGCTTGAAGAACTAGTTAATTTTCTCCACAACGTTCCAATGTTCGTCTTTTCAGGATTGTGCAGTTTTCATGAAATTGAACCTGGAACTGTCGAATGTTTTACCCGTTATTGGTAAGTGACTGAATTTCAGTTAACAAACAAATAATTTCTGTTAAAAAACGAACATTTAAGAAAAATGCATTGATGTCTTAACGAACAAATCTTGAAATGCAATGACCTACTAAAGAAAAAGACGGCTGGATCCCAGTAAACATTTCATGTGTCTGAAATATTTCTGATATTTCTAATAAGACATGAAACATTTGTGTTAATGGTTCTTTAAATTTGTTACCATTTTGTTTCGAAATGGTTTACATAACGTCTTTAAAATTTGAATGATAAACAGAGCATCTGTATGTCCGCTCTGGAAACCTGTTGCATTAAACCACAGAACACGCGTCTATAGAAAGGAAACGTCAATGTTAAAAAGAGAAATAGAGTTCGTCGCGCCCCCTGACGGTTGACCGCATAACTATCGCAATAAAAGTGTGCCAAAATAATATTATAAATTTTACAAATTCTAATTCATTAGAAAGTTAAGTGTATGCAAAATTGCTGTACACTTAAATTTCTATTCTGGCTCATAATAGGGTTGGGAAAAATAGTAATAAGGTCAAACAGTTGCGCTAAAAATTTAATCATTTATTCTTCCTAAAATCGTATGTAGTCGTAAACACAAAATATAAAAGTAGTAAACGAATCTCTACATAATTAAGCATACAATAATTAACTAAATTTAAACATAATAATAAGAAATTCTTGAAACTGACGCCATGCAAAATTTCAAGTACCTTAAAAAATACTCCAAATTATGAAGTTTTTCGTTAGAATATAAAATACAATAAAGCCTACTAATGACAATATAATTCATGTATCAAGACTCCCCATTCTTTAATTGAACTCTATTAACACGCATATTCTAAATTTTCTAATGCTGAACATGGATATGAAATTAAATAAAATTTGACTTTTTAATTTATTTTTACTTTCAACAACATTAGTAATCATAGTCGATTACCTAACTTTTTGTAGCGCCCGTTTTTTGGCAAAGGAACGTTTCTTTAAATAAAACTCAAAAGCCTTTGTTTTGATGGGATCCAGAGTGGATCTTAGCGTTGCGTTGTAATATAATTTTGAAAATTAAATATTTTTTCCTTTTAAAATCAAATTAATAGATTTACAGTAGAAGTGAATAATTGATTTTATAGCCATGTCTATCACTTCTTCAGGCAACGCAGGATGGTTCTTACACGTCAACGGCGCGAGGGGTAGTTTGTCCATTAGAATCACTTTTAAAATTTTAGATAAATTTCACTGAAATTTTTCTTTTCAAAATTGATTGTAACATTATGAACCGTGGTTAAATGTGCATACAGTTGTTGGCGATTATTTTCTGTTTTATCACAAAGTAAGCACGTTATTAACTTCTTAGACACCAACAGATTTGAATTTTCCTGATGAATGTTCCTCATGTGTTCGTATAAATTTTTTCTTTGACTAAACTGTTTTCCACAAAGTGTACATAACGGTCTTTCAGCTTCAGTTTTAGAAACCTCCATGTTTTCCAGCAAATATACAATACAATAGCAAACGGAAGCAATAGAAACGTGATCAAAACATTGACATCATCAGATTACATTCGGACAACAATCCAAGTCCAAGTGATCCAATCGTTCGTAAAATAGAATAACACGCATACATAACCTATTTAAAACTTGCCAAACGTCAAAAATGAGAGCCAATAATATAAAGATATTCTGCAGCCAATCACATAATCCGGCCGTGCTCCGACTAGGCGCTTGTTGCATTAATATACGTTTTAGAAACGTTCATGTTCAACATTTGTGATGTTTTTTTTACGTTATCAAACCAACGTACAATATAAAAAACAATTCAATTAAAAAAATATTCTTTATTTTAAAAGTAAACTATATAAATAAAAAACCGCCAATGTTGCAACAAATAACACAATTGAGGGGTTTAGAATCAAAAGTGGCAATATCCATAATAGCTAAATTTGAGTAATGAGCCAAAAACGTATGCGACTATTTGTAAAATAATTAACTTTTACAAGTCGAGTTACAATGCTAGATACATCATTACTAGTATCTGCTTGCTTGCTTTTGGCGTTTTGTCTTGGCGTTGCCATTGTCATGGCCTCAGAAACTGGTGAAATGTTTTCCTCCGGCACATTTGAACAACCTGCTGCTGGAAGGAGCAATAAATCTTCGTATTGGTTATCCAGTGCCTGATCTTCATCGAAGTCGACCGTATCTAGTGATGATTGTGTTTGAAACACTGTCATCATCTCCTCTATTTCATTTACATGAGTATTTGATGCAGTCTTTCTTGGCCTTATTTGCCTTTCCAAGAATTTAATTGCCTCATATAGAGGCCATTCCTCTCTGCCAGAAGGGCTAATCCCACTTTTATATTCTCTACTGAGAATCAAAGTTTATCTCCTAAATTTCTCTCGAAGAGATTTATATCGGAATGTAGCACGTTCCACTACAAAAAAAAAAATGTGAAATTTGTTCAAAGTTCTGTGTGAAATATACCTGTGCAGCTAAGAGTTTTGCTTATCTCCTGCCAACAGTTGCCTTTTGTTTGTTTATTTCTAAACAACTTTGAACTTTTATCCCAAATCGCAGGATATTGGGGTAACATGGAGATTAGTTGCTCATCAAAGCTTTGATCCATATCAAAACTATAGTTTACCGAAAAAGTACTCGTATATAGTGTTAAAGTCCACTTCATATTTGAATTATACTGAAATATAAAGTGTAAAAACACTTTTAATTTGAAACAAAATAAACACAAACAATTTGTAAAATATAGGTATTTGTAAAAAAGCTATCAAAAAAGTGTAATAGTCTACTTACCAAATAATATACGATGGATACATTAGTCAACAACCAAAATACTCTTGTAATAAAAATGTGTGCACTAGTTAAGTTTATTGGTTTAATAAACTTGCTTTTAAAAAGAACTTTTCTTTTATTCACAAATATTGTTATTACACTTGATTATTAATTATTGGATTATTTTATATTGATTGATTATTCACAATTACTTGATTATTCACTTATTTCTACTTCACAATTATTCACTTAAATTACAACTTATTGGGAGAGCGCGATTATGACGGGCTTAAAATCATCTACTCTTTTTCAGCTATTTTGGCTTCCTCATATGATGCTAAAATATGAAAAATTACGGTAATTTACATAATTATACTATTATACACACCAAATTCTTAAAGTATTATTATCTCTAATATAATATTCTGTTTATTAATTAATTAATAGTTTATTAACGGAAAAAAAACTCCTATTACATAAAACAAGAAAGCAATTCATTAAACTTATAACTAAAAATTTAAGATGTACATGAAATAAAACTAAAACTAAAACTGGATATAACATTCTTTGATGCTGATATTAGCAGACCACAAAACCTAATGTCGATAATAAAATAATTTGATTCTTAAAACCGATTTAGAAGACCTAAATAAATAATTTTTTGCGGTTGATGTAACCATTAGTAGCATCAGTAATACTTCTTAATAATAATGATAATCTATATTCACGGGCAAGTAAGTATCCCATTTACAATAATAATGATACAGATTGCATTTACAGTAACTTTAAGAACACAGTAAATGATGGACACGATTTTTAAAAACAGCATAAGATTGACAATTAAAAAAATCCAATGAATCAGAGAACGGCAGTGCTGTGTTCAATGGAGAATTTAAAGTATAGTTTCTCCTACAGCTTTCTATACTAAACAATGGACTTCTCCTCACAGCAAACTGCGGAACATAATAAAATAGGGAATGCAGAATTTCGTTACAGTCCAAAAGATTGTTCATGACTCTAAAAACAAAGCAAAGTTGAAAGTATTTTCGTCTAGTACATAATGTTGTCATTCCAAGATAGCTCAAACTTAAATTGTAATTGAAGTCAATTTGTAAATTGTTAGGCAATTTATGCTTAACACAATTAAGAAATTTTCGTTGTATCGCCTCTAATCTGTCGATATGGATTTTATATTGAGGTGACCAAAGTATACATCCATACTCCGTTACCGATCTAACTAGTGTAACATACAAAGTTTTTATTGTTTGTAAATTTTTGAATTCACTACCGTATCTTGTTACACACCCTAAGATTTTATTAGCTCTACACACAATTTTTTCGTAATGTGATATAAATGTCAACTTCGAGTCCAAAGTGATACCTAAGTCTCTAACTTCAGAAACAAAGTTAAGTATTTGGCCATTTAAAATGTATTTAACCTTGCATGATACAATTTTCCTACTATAGTTTATTGCGTGACATTTATCTTCATTTAGAAACATATTGTTAGAAACACACCACTCTTCCAGATGACCAAGATCTCGTTGTAGAGTTGTAACGTCATTTCTAGAATTTATAATTCTAAAAATTTTTAAATCATCAGCGAATAGACGATAGGGACTTTCAAATTTGTATCCTATGTCATTAACAAATATCAAAAATAATAGGGGCCCCAGAATTGACCCTTGGGGAACTCCCGAGGTTACATTCACCATATGTGCCAGACAATTGGCTATCTTAACCTGTTGCGATCTATTGGAAATATACGAGATAAACCATGTAAGTAAGGACCCTGATACACCGTACTCTTCCGATTTATGAATAAGGATGGAATGGTTCACTTTATCAAATGCTTTAGAAAAGTCCATATATATTGAGTGAACCTCGGAACCTCTACCTAACGCTGTTAAAATGAGGTTGACGTAGCTGAATAAGTTAGTAACTGTTGAACGTTGTTTATAAAAACCATGCTGCTCAGGAATAATTAAAGAATTAAAGATAGGTGTTAGTTTTGTGATCAAGCAAGATTCAAATATTTTACTTACAGCAGATAAAATAGTTATTGGACGATAATTGTCAACTTTGCTGGTAGCACCTGATTTGAAAATAGGTATGATAAAAGTGTGCTTCCATTTACTATTGAGTCTTTTTGTAGAATAATGGAGGTATTCCGTCCGGACCAGGCCCCTTGTTTGTATTAAGAGCACTTAAACAACGATCAACATCTTCCACACTGATGTCAATAAAATTTGTATTAATTTTAATTTCAGAATGAAAGTTTGAATTGGGACAACTAGCTTTATTATATATGGATGAGAAATAAACAGCAAAAGCATCAACAACCTGTTGTAAATCTGACACAAGTGTATCATTATAAATCATAGGAAGTGTGATGGATGCCTTAGAAGATTTATTTCGAATAAATTGCCAAACATTTTTTGGATTAATTAATAGGTCACGTTCAATATGACATAGGTACCTATCATACGCCTCAGAAATTTTGTATTTACACTGTTTGCGTAAATTAGAGAATTCTAAGTAATCTTCGATACTTCGCGTGTTTTTATACCGCTTATGAGCAATCTTTTTATGTCTTAATAGCTCTATTAGTTCGCTGTTAAACCAGGATGGGAAGGTTGAGGAACGTTTACATCTAAGTGGAACATACATATCAATGGCGACATACATAAGTTCATAAAATTTACATATTGATTCATCAAGCAATTGGCAGTTGAAAAGATCTGCCCAGTTGATATTTTTGAAATATTCAACAATACTATCATATCTGGCATTTTTAAAATCATAATACCACACTTTATCATTAAAGATGGCGATATTATCTAAGATGCTGATATTAACACTAAAAGTGGGATGGCATATATCAAGTTTAGTTAAATTTTCACAGCATTTAACTTCAACATTGTCACAGTTAACAAAACAAAGATCTAAAATATGATTATGTAAATTTCTAATATTATTTAATTGGTCAAAACAAAGACTGAAATAGCTGTCACAAAGATATATCTCACTTTGGAGAGTTAACCTATGCGGAATCAGACCAGGTGAGTTTTCAGATGTTATCCAGCTAATATTTGGTAGATTAAAATCACCGAGCACCACGATGTCACAATCTTTGTGCTTCTCACATATAGATTTAAGGGTATGAATGTGATTAGTATACCTACAAATTTCACTTCGTGGAGGTATGTAAACGCATCCCAGTATTAGATCACGCACTCCCGTAAGCACTTTAACCCACACTTCTTCGACTGATGATATAGGAGAGGTTAACTGGATACACTTATATTTAGCGCTTACCGCTAAGATTACACCGCCTCCTAATTCCTTTGTGCTGTTAAGACTACTCCTATCGGTTCTAAATATCAAGTATCTAGGATATAAAATTTCGTTATTGTGAAAATCAGATGATAACCAGGTTTCTGTTAAAGCTATAGCGTCATACTCATTTGCTAATGCCCCACAGTTAAAGTCCTTTATTTTACTGCGTAAGCTGCGTACATTTTGGTAATACACAGAGAACGTACCATCCTCTAATTTGCTGGGCTTATCGACTTTTCTTTTAGGTCTAGTCTCTCTCCTTTTTTCGCTAAAAAATAAAATTTTTTGACAATAACGTTCTCTGGCCAAGCACTGGCATCCATTAAATTCTTGACCATACTACTATCCACGGTGACCTTGTATGCAATGCTCTTGGCATTCTCCCTTTTTGGTAATGGTTCAACTTTGAAATTGTCACAACAAAGTTTGTTCTCTAAATAAGTAGACAAATCAGTCTCCGAAGTACCAACCAAGATTTCCAACATAAATATAACTACTACGGGGTGCAGCTTTAATTACCAAGTTTGAACTGTGTATCGACCCTCGAATAATATTTCTTTTTTTCTTATATGAGACTGGTACAAAATCATCGTCCGCTTTAAGGCGATGTTTGCTAAAAGAAAACGGTCGAATTTTTACTTTTGTCGTGTTCTTGTCTTCACGAGAAGTTTGCATGTAGAAAAATAAAGACGAAAAGGAGTGGTAAGCTGGTCGACACCCAGGAAAGCTGGGGTGTAATTTATGACACCCATAATCTCTGGTAACAGTTCGGACCCGTTTGTCGTAGGTACATTATTGTTCGACTTTCGTTCACCAATATTTGTCCAATTTTCATGCAAGAATTTATAAAATGTTCACAAAAAAATAATAAGTAATAATAAAAAATCTGAATTAGTACAAAAATGAACTTCGAAAAATGAAGACAACAAATACCAAGTCCAAGCAATTATAATCTAATTAGGAAACTGATTGATTTACGACAAAAAAAGAACATAGCGCAAAAATTATAAATGCAGTTATTTTTCGAACACAAAATATTTCACATAACAATAAACACTTTCGCAAAAGCAACATTTAAAATGATTTGTTGTAAGTCCGCCACAATCAGTTTCGACTGTCAGTATGATTCTACTGAATACCTCCATATATTGAAATGCAACGAGAAAATCATCAATTTCTGCATCAGTACTCATATATCATGATGTGATGCGAATTAAAAGTAAACTAGAGACCACTAACTTGTTTCGTTTTTATTTATTCGTATTTATAAAACTGTTTTACTTATAACTAAGTAAGTATTTCAATTAGTTGGTTTACACGTTTCAATTATAACTAGTTCCCCATCGGGTTATTATCGTCTAAATTCAAAATAAAATGCTTTCAGGTAAAACACTTTGGTGTTTGACAAAAAGCCGAGAAGGAAAATAAGTTATTAATAAGGTTATTATATAAAGTAACAATAACAAAATTTCTACTAGTAACATCAATTTATACTTTTGTTTAACAATACAAACAGTGGTAGGTCTAAAAAACAAATATATACAGAAATTAATCTAATCAATGCATAGTATGTACCCGTAATGGTAGAAGTCTTGGCTCTAATAATATGTAGAATTATACAACAATAATTAGTAAAACTAATCAAACGATGACTAAACTAAATTTTTTGTTTGCAATTTTAGTAGATTATTAACGTAATAACTGTGATAAAATTTATATAACTTTTTTTCCATTTTTTCCTTAAAAAATTGTTCATCTCTAAATATTTTTTCAAATAATAAACCCTTCGGTGTCCACAATATAAAAAAACAATATTGTCGTTCAGTGACATGCAACTGACCTTGAACCTGATAATAAAAGTTATCATTTCTTTTTAAATGAAATTTACCGTTGACAAATGTTGCAAAATTAATTTTTTTACTCAAAATGACATCTTCAGGTGTAGAATCTCGTCCCTTATATGGACATTTGATTTCAACTAACCCGTCATTATCAATTAAACCATCGGGTGACGCCCCTAGGTAACAATAATCATCTTTTCCAACAAAAAACCCACATTCTGTAACATCTTTCTCAATCATTTTAGAAAAATCTTTTCTTGCAGTGAGTTCATGATCTTTACCATAATCTGTATATTTACTACCCGAAAATGTCGAATAAAGAAGTGCCTTTATTGTATTTGCTGGATTAGTAGACGGCCGCATTTTACAAATTTTCCCAAAGTATGAAGCTGTTAGGCGTTTCCGGCGTTCTGTGTACCACAGATTAGATGTGGATTGATCTATTGTTGCAGCACATAATTGAGCAATTTCTTCTTCCGTTTTTCGAAGACCAGATAAAAATTCATTCTTCATCCTGCTCACTTCTACGGGACATATATCTAGAGCACGCACATTTTCTCCGTAATCTTCATCGTCACTTACATTTGTATCCGAATTTTTTTTTTTACGCTTACTCATCATGGAAGCGGTTGAATCACAATCAAACCGTAATCTTTTCCTTGAGAGATTGTTTAAACGTCGTCTCTCTTTTGTCTGGGCTAATTTTTTTGTATACGCCCCTGGGCTTCTAGCTGTTATGGCTCTATGAATGGTGTCATAAAATGCACCTTTTTTGTTAAAAGATAAGCCTGCCAAATTACACCGCATTTCATAACTTCCTTTTTTTGAAAAATCCACTCGTTTTCCTCCAATAAATTTAGCTAAAACCGAATTGTAATTTTCGGCATTGTTATTTGTCATATTTTTTATTAAACTATTACTATGATAGTATAATCTATTTACAGATGCTAATATGTCGTTTAGTAAACCGCACTTTTCCATCAAAGGTATCAAATTTTTTTCATTGGGTTTTGATCCTTCACAAAAGTACACGTCACAAAGTTTATGTTCACCAAAAACATGATACACACTGTTTGTTATGTCCTTTTTTAGATGTTGAACACTTTGACCGTGATCATAATTTTGAGTCCGTCTATACTTGATAGCACAAACTATGGAAAGACGGAGACGTGAGATGTTATTTTTCAATGCATGTCGTAGTACGATGTCCACTTCTTTACCTTGCGAACTAAACCGTTTTTGCGCAATATCTCTTAATTTAGTAACATAATTTCTAAGAAGGTGATTTGCACATTCAATTTTTGTTACCATAAATTCTCCATAGGGTTCGGCTTCCATAATTTTTTTGTATACGCTTGAATCTCCATCTCCTATCAAAGATGCATATTTTGCACCATGCATTTCTAGGCTTCTTTTAAACCCTTCTAAAATAATATCACTTTCCATGGCTGAGCTTGATCCTTTCCAGTTTTTAAAACATAAATGGGGTTTACTTTCGTCCTTTACGCACATTGCACAATATTTATTTCGTATTCCCAGAAAAAGTATTTTGCCGGTTTTTTCTCCAACTATGCACGCTGCACCAGATTTGGCATTGTAATTTGTGCGGTAGGATCTTTTGCACCATGCACCATCAGCAATCACAGTAATAAGTGGCACACAATTTTCATCTACATTGCCATTTTCTATTGCAATTTTCACTTCTTCTTTTCCAGCATCAATCATGGATTGCCAACATTCATTTTGGAATATTTCGTTCAAGTTTGTCTCAATTTTATTGTATAACCTGTATGACATTCCCGGCATATTCAAGGACCCCGCTAATTCGTTAAGTTGAGAATAACCGCCGCCAATATTCATAATTCCCAGGATTGCAGCTCCATTAGTATTCAGTTTACCTTCATTTATATCACTATCGACAATGTGCTGTACTTTACACATTGCACACTGTAGAACAAACTTTGAAATAAATCCTTTTCTTATTTCTTTAACGAGTTTCACACAACTAGACGCACATGAAAATAAACTATGATGAGGGAAATTCATGCACTGCTCCAAAAAGTAGGAAACATTTATTATACGCCTACCAATTACTGGACAGTCTTCTTCTCTGCAAATATTGTTATATAATATCTTTATTGATTTTGTTTTTTTTAAATAGGGAAATACCTTTTTGGGCTATTATGTATCTCAATAAGAGTATGATCCTCTTCTTTTAGTAATTCATTGCTTCTAATTGCATCTAAATTTTCCACTGGAAAACTCGCATAGGATTGATTTATATCACTTACAGTAACTGGAGAATAATTATATTCTGGTCTGAAATGTTGATGTGTTACTCCTCTATAATATGAGTTTTAACGTAAAATATATCACTTACATCTTTTTATTTTTAATTATGTTAATATGATCGTCCTTGTGTGTTGTCAATTGATTTGTACCCGAAGTGCTTGGTAACATATGTGTAGATACACTTGTTGATTCAGAAGAGTGCTTTTTAGCTAAATATTCGTTTCTGCAAAAATTCTGTTTAAATGTTATTTTTACGTATCATGTAAATTTTACCTGAATAATCTACCTAATTTTCTTCGACTTTTGCGTGGTTTCGAAAGTGGAATTTTCGACTTTTGTCCCATTTCAAAATTTACTATTTCTTATATCAGTGGTCACAACGAGTTCACTAACTACACTGAAGTATGCAAAGATTAAATTTGTCACCGAAAAGATGTCGGAAGTAATAAATTATCCCATCGGTCGAAGAAAGTACGGTCGGTGCTATACCCCGACCCAAGAGAGACCGCAGTAAAAGACAGCAAATGGAATGGATAAAATAAAGCTTCAAACATGATCAATTTCAAACCAAAACTATGAAGTTTCTAAATCGCGCATTTTTTTCTTTTTTTTAAATATTATAGTAAACACGTCAAAGAATCTCCCAGACTGATTTGAATGTGAGTTTTGTAACTATGGTCGGCACAATTATAGACTTAACATTAGTGTGATTTTGAGCATATTCTTGATTTTATTAGAGCTGAACACATCATTTCTTTTCTAATTTTATGAGTTAACGAAATTAATCACATATCACAGATATTGTAAAAAAAAAATTGGGTTCAGGTTCCAACTAGTTGTCTTGCATTTTTGAAACAAAATCTACCGTAAATTCACTGAAAACTAAACGGATAACATCACCTTAATATAATTTAAAACGTTTCAATTTTTATTTCAACTACGCGAATTTAAAGTCCAACGTGCTTGGTTGAGTTAACAGTGAACAATGAGACGAAAATTGAGAAATTCTCGAAACCAACCAGGCCGCAATCGGCTGCAGGGTAAAGCGGACGAATTCTGGGAAACCATAAATTGCTCCAATTTGTTTTTTGACACTTTTAATATTTTTACTTCCCGAGCGTACGCTACTACTATTGACGCCGGTTCCTCGGTTCACCGAAAAAATCGAAGAATTTTTATGACTTTGTTTGTCTAGTTGGGTCTTCAACAAACCCCAGATGTGGTGTTTACGATTTGTCACGTACCTGCTTAACAATAACACTTCCTAGTGATTTCGAAAATGTGCACAACAAAAATTTATCTGCCGTACTTGCGGAGTCGTACTGCCAGCAGAGCTGTTATCCTTATCCCCACAGATAAGACAATAACTTTCCAGAGTGGGCAAGATTTTCTTTCAGAGTGGGCAATGCCCACTCTGGCCCCCCCCTAGCTACGGGCCTGACACATACATAACTATTATGTGTTGTTCAATATGAACATCAAATCAGATGATAAAATTTCATAACCTAAAACCAATACATTTTACTTCAGTTTACTTGAGTATAAACCACAGACCATTAAGCAAATAGAAAGACGTTCAAAAACCACTACGATTTAATGTGGCGATTACAGCGCTGCTCGAGCTCCTGCATGAATTAAATCCACTGATTACTAGATTATAATTACTATCGTAGTAATTTTATTTTTAATTACAATTTTAATTCTATAAAAATGAAACTAAATTCAGTAATGAAAAACATATATTTGATAACAATGACAAAATTACAAAACAACTCTCAAAGAAAAACAATTTCATTTCGAAATACCTAAAAAAAATAATTTAATTACAAACTGCTTAAAAAAAAACTCTTGAAGCTACGGGTAGGTGTTAATTTTAAAACCTATTTGAATTATTAATTCTTCTACGATTATGTACTTCAAATTGTTTTTGCAGATTGGTCAATTTTTTATTTATTATTAGACGCACTGCCAAATTAATAATTTCCGTTCTTAAATCAGCAATATGAATGTCACAGTTAATCCAAGTAAAGTTAATTGTTGCTGTTATATGTTCTTTTAAATTTCTTGCAATATTTGGAACTTCTCCAAAATTATCTAAAAAGAAGACTATGGTATCGTAAATCTCAGCTAAGCATGTTACAAATTCTTTTGTAGCATATTTTAACCTTAATTTTTGATCCTGTTCTTTGTAAAGAGTGAAAATATGATGTTCTTCGGTTTTTTGTGCAATTATACAATTTTTACAGTCTTTACATGTGATAGCTTTTAATTTATTTATTAAAAAGCCACAAACATATGTAATAGCCTGAAGATCATATAAATCTTTAAATGCAGCTCTATTAGTTGAGCTAGAATTTTCTAAATTTACCAACTCATTGATATTTTCTGTAAACTGAAAATTTGTTGGTTTTGATGACGAGGATAAAAATATTCTAAGATTATCGAGAAGTTTTCCTACATCTTCTTCACAATTCTTACCATATGCTTGATATGCTATCAAATTATTCAAAATACTTGTTTTTAACCCCGATATAAATTGAAAACACGATGGATTACTATTTCCTGAACCGTATTGTCGTATCACTGAAAATAAATTTTCTAGAGGATCCTGATTCAACATTCTTGTTCGCAAAAATTTGAATTCATTTTTTTCACACATCTGCCAAAGAAGTCTAATTCCACGAATGTTATTTAACCAACCTTCTTTAAAGGGCATAGTTGTTTTGAATTGACCACGTACTTCGTCATAAAATTTCCAACTTTCGATTTTTTTTTCCATTTTATTCCAAAAATCAAAATGACCAGATTTCTTTGTTAAAGCACATCTTAGCTTTGGATTGCAGTGGTTGTTACGCATATTAATACCAGTGGAGTTGAAACTGTCGAATAAATCATTTGCGTCTTTTACAAAGAAAGCCGTTTCGATTGCTTCTGAAGGAATATTTTCTTTTGAATCTATTAGAGTTTCAAGTGCAGCTGCCATACTGGCACTAAGTGTTTTTGCTGCAATTGACACTTTCATCTTTAATAATCTATATCTGTTCACGTAAAGAAAGGCTTCTCGGATTTTATGCAAAGTTTGAAATCTTCGAGTACTATCAAATTGATAAGCTTGTCTCAAATACATAAATTTAGCTTTCTTGGTTTCATCATAATAAATCGTATATTTAAGGAGAGCATTTCTTAATGATTTCAATAAATGGGGACTATCATATAAACATACATTTTTTTTTTAATTTACCTTAAAGTGTGGTTCCTTATACTCTACATTTGATTCTTCTTTTAACAAACGTAGAGCCTTTACATTCGAACTGGCCTGATCACAAACGGTGCATATGACTTTTGCGCCGGCCATATTAAGTTTGCTAATAATTTCTTTAATTATTAGTTTTAATTTTATACTTTTAATAGAGTCCTTAACAAAATAGTACGCTATTGGTTGTTTCCATCCGGAACTAATACCTTTAAATACTAACGCATGGTTAGCATAATTTTTATTTCGTCCTAAAGATCCCAAATCCTCAAAACCAATAATTTTGTCAGTAGATCTCGAATAGGTTAAATTTGTAGATAAAGACACTTCATCAAACACAAGCTTGCATAATCGATCTCTTGGTTTCAGTTTCTCAATTCTCATTTTTAACTTATCAAATAGTTCGTCATTCACGCCACATTCAAAAGGTATATTTTTCAAAAATTTGTACAAAGTTGTTTTTGACGGAAGTCTGAAAAAATGTTTTAAAAAGCGATAACATTTTGGACCTCTTTTGTACATAGCCAAGGCAAATATTTTATTTTCAGTTGACCATCTAGGAATTTTTTTTTTCATGTTATCAAATTGGGATTTTATGAAGCTTGCACTTACAGAATTGCAATTTTCTTGTAAAATGTTAATTAGATGATTTTGGGGAGCACGTTTTAGAAGATCCAAGTTTTTTTTTGATTTACATAATTTTAAATTTAATCTGTTTATTGCCTGTTTCTGGCGTTTTGTTATTCTAAATAAAGTTTGCTCTCTAGGAGTTAAGTCGTCCACTCTTTTGCATCCTACCTTTTTCAAAACACTGGGTGAATATTTTCTTTTTTTCGGAGTATGTGATATTGTCGTGAGAGTATCACAATGGCGTTTGCGTCTTTATGAATTTACGCTACCATCATACTCAGATTCCGGAATAGTTCCGACTAAAAAAATAAAAATTTTATAATTTTTTTGTTCACTTTTACTGGAATACCCATCACCATTAGTATTAATCACAGCTTGACTACTGTCCTTAAAAATAGTGGGAATTGCGTATTTATGAAGGTTCGTTTGTGCGGTGCTCGTAAAGTAATTTTTACTGAAATGATCTTCACAAATGTAAGCTTTTTTACAATTAACAACAATTTTTTCAGTGGAGGAGGCATTAATGGTATCTATCCACTTTCGTTTTTGAACTGGAGATTTAGGAAAAATAAAAAAATGTTTATTTTTGTTCTTGTTGATTCCTGTTGCGTATACTGACGGACAATTTGGAACTTTGCATCGATATTTATTAATAATTTTCATTTCCGTTGTATCTGAAGCAAGTAAAACTATATTAATATGACTTAAAAATAGCAGATATAATAGCCACCAAACTTACTACTGAAAACCTTTTGAAAAAATTATAATTTGGCGTTTGAATTTGAATGACGTTAAAGGAGATATTTGTTGACAGTAAACACGATCTATTACGAAATTTACACGAGTATAAGCGAATGAGTGTTTGCTCCAGCCGCTCGCGCAGCGCTAGTGTCGCTTCCTAGACTATACGATTAAATGGCAATGAACTGTCTTCCTATTTGTTTAATGGTCTGTGGTATAAACTTACTTACCGTGGAGTTAATTTCTTATATTCTTATAAGTGGCTTCCTGTAGTTAAATATAGTAATTGATGCCACATTATAAATTATCCAAGAATCCAGAATAAACTTGGATTTGTTTTGAATGTTTTGATTCACTAATTGCACTCCTAACCTCACAAATTGTGATCACTGTTGAACACGTACCACTTGGTCTCGGTCCGTCTCCGTCTGCTCCTTAATTTTATATTATAATTTATCTATACCAAATTTTATGTTTAAGAAGCTCAATTCCAACAAAATTTAAATTTATGATAGTAAAGTCAAGGCATCTTGAACCTAAAATAGGCGACGAAACACACTGGGTAGTTTGTTTAAACCAGGATAATAATAATAATATTTGTAATAGATAGGCAACTCCTTATACTGACAAAAGGACACAGAAAGCAGCGGCCTCTGGTGGGCTGTTCCCCAACAAAACCAGGGTTACAGCCTGCTGGGTTTTTATTTTAATTTTTGTTCCACAATTTTTTTAATAAAACAACATGCATATTTCAGAAAATTAGCTTTAATTTTTTTAATTACAGAATTTATAGTATAATGTTCAACAATGTTCAATGTTTACTCACTTTTTTTTTCTTTTTTCGTAATATTTCTTGGCTGCGATATATATGGCGTCGTCGTTTCGATGGCGGTTTCGTTCATCTTTGCCACTGAGAACTTTATTAATACCACCGGCCCAATTATAACAAACTAACTCAGTGAATTTTGATATTAGAAATTCTTTGATGTCCCCCATATGTTCACAATTATCGTTAAATTCGAAGTTCACATTCATTTTCACAGAATTTTTCAATATTTCATAGCCAGATTTTTTGAAGCAAAATTTTGGTGTTAGTTTTTGTAGCACGTGATAACAAGAACTTAAACCTATAATAAGCTTCGGAGTACAATATTTCAATTTATTGGGAACCGAATCTTTAAATTCTTTCGCAACAACCAGATCATGCCACTCATTTTTGTTTACTGTTGTTAAATTTTTTTCGCATTTTATGCATGTTTCTATTCCT